AACTTGGTAGCGTGGTATGATCAAGTCTAACGTTAAGATAAAACATAATCATAATGAATCGAAGTATATAACTATTGTATATATCGAACTACTGGAGGGTATTTGATCAAAATAGGAGCATATTATTTTTAACATGTCTAGTCGGGGTTTTTGATACGTTTATTTACTCCTAATAATTTCGTCATTGTTTTAGAATATTTTAATTTACTCTTAAAAAAATTGGAAATTAAAATTAGGTCAAAAAAGAAAACCTAGGGCATCTAACGGTTAATATAAAATAAGGTCGATACGATACCAGTAGCAGCCTACAGAAATTAGGGTTTGACCCGAAGATGGAGAAACTATTGAGATCATCTTTGTCCTTTCCTGTCGATCTAACCAGAGAGATACTCTCAAGGCTGCCTGAGAAATCTGTTGCCAGGTTTCGTTGCGTGTCGAAGCTCTGGTCATCAATCACCACCGATCCATATTTCATAGACTTGTTCGAAACTCGGTGCCCAGGGCCAAGTCTCCTAATCTACGTCAGAAAAGATGACAATAATTTGTGTGCTTACTCGATTCCCCAACATTCTCTGAAGGCTTACTCTTCTTCTTCTCTGCCTTTTATCCGTCGACGTTATCACTTTGATCTACCAGGAGAGTATTCTAACTTTACCTTTACGGAATCTGTCCATGGCTTGATCTGTGTTCAAGCAGATCAAAAGCCAATAGTTTGGATTTGGAACCCTACAATGACAAGTTTTTTACCTTTACCAAATCCCAACAACCCTAGCTGGAAAAGAGTAACACTCTTTCTAGGATACGATCCCATAAAAGGTAAACACAAAGTTGTGTGCATTCGCTGTGACAAAGTTCCATACGAATGCCGAGTTTTAACATTAGGATCACCTCAAGAATCATGGAGAACGGTGGAAACAGATGTCAAGCACCGTGCTTGCTGTTTAACTTCTGAAGGACGATGCATCAATGGGGTGATATATTATAAAGCCGGTATATATTATAACGCTGGTATGTGTTATTCGCCCAATCTAGCTTTAATGAGCTTTGGTGTCAGATCTGAAAAGTTCCATATGATAGAAAGACCACCTGGTGCTCTTAGCCTTGATTGTCTGCTAAATTATGGGGGGAGGTTAGCTTGTACTGATTATTGCTTAGGAAGATTGTGGATTTTGGAGCATGCAGAGAGGAAGTGGTCGACTAAAGACTTTCTTGTACCTTCACAATACTATGAACCGAGTTTGGAAACCAAGTTCAAAGCAATCGGTTTCACTCATGCTGGTGAGTTTGTTTATTTACCAGAAGACATGTTTCCTAGGTCGTTTTGTATTTTGTTTTATGATCCGGTGAGGAACTGCTGTAGAAGACTCAAGTTTAAAGAAATCGCAGAGGAAGAATCTTGGCTCGATAGGCATGAGCTCCTTGTTTTCCCGAATTACACTGAGAGTCTAAAGTCTCTTGTAAGATTTAGTTAGTTGATTTTTGAGAAACCAAAAAAAGAAATGAGCGTAGCATTTGAGCAGATGTAATGCTAACATATGGTTTGTGATCACCTGACGTCATTCACTTCCTTTAACTTTGCAACTCCAGCTTCAAGCTTCCACGGTACAAGCCATACAAAACCAAAAAAATCACAACTGAGAATCTTATGAGATATACTAAAGTGCCAAAAATGGAGTCATGCACTATAACTTATTGAGGAACCAACGTATTTAAGCTCTAAAATTAATAATAAGCCCTAAGTAAAAGAACCGAACATGTAAATGGAATATTAATAAGTTATTGAGAAGAAGCGGTCGATATATAGCAAAAACATTTTTAGGGTAACACAGCCTGAACAAATTAGGGTTTTGACGAAAGATCATGGAGCAAAAAGAAGCGAAGAAACGAAAAGGCAACACAAGAAGAAGAGAAAGCACACGATCGAAATCAATATTGTCCTTTCCTCTCGATCTAACCAGAGAGATACTCTCAAGGCTGCCTTTGAAATCTGTTGTGAGGTTTCGTTGCGTGTCGAAGCTTTGGTCATCACTCACCACCAATCCATATTTCATCAGCTCGTTCGGAGATAACTCCTCAACAAGGCAGACCCTTCTACTCTGCTTCACTAAAGGTGACAAACTATTTGTTTCTTCCATTCCGCAACATACTCAGGATTCGAACAACTCTTCTCCTCTGCCTATTGAGCGTTATCATATGAAACTCCCAGGATATGGTTTTCATGATCTTACTGAATCTGTGCACGGCTTTATATGCGTTGAATCCTCACCAAATCCCTTAGTTTGGAACCCTAGCATGAGAAGTTTTTTACCTTTACCCAATCCCACTAACCATAAGAGCTGGAATAGTAAAACACTCTTTCTAGGATACGATCCCATCGAAGGTAAATACAAAGTTGTGTGCATTCGCTATAAGAAAGTTTCATACGTGTGCCGGGTTTTAACATTGGGATCAGCTCAAGAATCGTGGAGAACGGTCAGAACAAAGCATAAGCATCGTGCTG